CAACGACACTAAGACTAAGGTCTTCGTTCTTGGTCTTCTTTTAGCTCTTGTTCTTGTCTTCCTTCTTCGCCTTGTATATTCAAAGTTTGACTTGATCACGGCGGTTTGGCATTATCAAAACCTGTCATAAAAACAAACACGGCTTTAGTACGAAAACGTGACATGCCCGTGTTTCAACAATTTCCCCCTTTTTGATAATTGCAAACGAGATGAGGTTATGCATATGAGGAAGTCTTTGAGACTTTAAAAAGTGTTCCCCCTTAATGGAAGCCATTTTATTTGAAAAATAATTCCCCCTCAATTTATGCATAACCTTGATATCTTCCCCCTTTTGACATTAACAAAAAGAATTAAAAGTGAACTTTGGAGTAAAAAAGTAAACTTTCATTCATGAGAAAGGAGAAAATGCGGAATACAACGGAATGGAAATAATTAAAAAAATAATCATAGGAAGGAAGGAAAAGAAAGAAGATTTTAGGCAGAGGCGTCCTCGTCCTCGGCGTCATCGTCTTCTTCGTCGTCCTCAACGTCCATGGGATCCCCGTCGACCGCGTCCTCAAAATCGGCCTCGTCGGGAGAGGAGGATGGTGCATAGGAGTTATCCTCCTCGTCCTCGCCTTCATAGTTTTGGCCGAGGAAGGTGCTGTCAAAGGGCGGCGGGACGTAGTTGACGCCGCGAAAGAACGCCGTCATGTCGTGGTGTTGGCGTTGCAGCGTCCAGTCCATCCGCTCGATTGACTGCCCATGCCATCCACTGTGAGGGTTAGCCGATTCAGAGTATCGGCTATGGACTGTAAGGACGCCTTGGCGGGAGCGGAGGCAGGGGCACGGGCACGGGCACGACTCGTCCCAGCGCCGGTTCCGTCACCGGACTTCTTCCGGAAGGTGCTGTCTTGGATGATCCAAATCTTTGTCATCTTCGTATCCGGGCCGGCGATGGAGATGTCGGCGGAGATGATGAGGTCCATGACGAGGAAGGCGTATGGCAAGCTCCGCTCAGTGGCGATGGAGGCGCAATCCGCCATGTGGATCATGACGAATTTCGCCCAGTTGATGGAGGCGCCGTGGATGATGGCATGAATCGCCTTCAAGTCCTCGTTGAAGAGCGAGGTATGGCTGCTGTCCCTGGGGCGGAGAATCTGGGTGATGATATAGAGGAGGAGGCGCTGGTCCGGTGGGGCCGAGTGAATCGTCGGTGCGCCGCTGTGACGGATGAGGTTGGTGATCCCAAGCTCTCGGATGACCACCGCCTCGTTGTTGAGGATCCAATCATTGCCACCATAGGTTGCGATGTCGTCACCACGGATGGGCAGCCCTGCGACCCGAGCGAAGGTAGGCAAATCAATCTCTATGTCGTAGAGATTGATGCTGCTGTGAATGGTGTCCCCGTCACGGCGGAGATTGGAATAGAAAGCCCGGACAAAGGCGGGATTGAAGCTCGAGCGGCTCTTGGAGACGAATGGCCACAAACCCGACGCTTGGAGTTGGTTGTCGAGGTCGTGGTACCCTTTGTCTTGGGGAAACAACTCCGGGAGCACGCGAGGTGGAGAGATCGGGCGCTTGGCAAAGTGAGT